CCGAATACTACCCACCACTACCTCTCATCTATATGTCGTCCTCATCCACCTAACCTAACCTAACCTCACAGCTCTTTTCTATGTTTGACTTTTTTTCCGACTCACTGTGTACGTCACTACACTCTTGTCTCTGTCACGCCACCAGGAAACTCCATTATTCCTATGCATTAAACGATCTGTGAAGGAACCCGGCTGGTGTCCCGTGGCGAACGGATTGCCGTGTGGAGGCCGGGTGTCGAGTTTGGATTAGTACGTCAGTCTCGATGCTATGGGAAGTGATTATTCTCGGTAGAAAATTACTTTGTAAAATTGCAAGCTTCCGTATACTTGTTTTAGCTGCGCTACAAAGCCACTGGGCTCTTAAGTCTTACCAGTCCTCGTTTATTGCGGCGTTGGTCGTAGCTGCGTTTGGTGGGACGCCTAAGGAAAACGTGCGGTTTCAGGTAGTCCGAGAGTGGTTGGCGTGTTAGCTATACTCTGTATATAAATACGCGGCTAAAACGGGAGATCGAGGGCGTAGAATATTATGGGTAGATTTTTATGCGGCGACAACCCTGATGACGAATAGCTGGCGACTCGAGAGCTTGTCAGATTAATTATGCCGAAACTAATTATGCAGCGAAGCCGCTGCGCACATTGCGGACGGGGAGTTCGGGGGTCGTGGAAGGTGAGGGGGGATGCAGGAACAGGAGGGTCGAACCAGGGAAAACGTTCGGACTGCGCACCGGTTGGATTTACGATATTTTCCAGTAGCTACTGAATTATTCCCGTTACCTCATTCCTGTCGTCCCGACGCCGGTAGCTACGTCACGAATTAATACTTCCTCCGCTCTCCTGCCACGTGTCCTGCTCTTTCGTTTTTCGCGCCATCCTTTTGAATATCCGTTCCATATTTTCTTCCCCCTCGCTTTCATCCGCCCTTTAATCCCCCTTTTATGTCTCTTCTGTGCGCGTGAAAAATGTCCGTGTGCTTTAACGTCGTCACGCTATAAAAATAGTTCTAGTCGCGCTATTCCATAAAATGCAAAATATGATACTGAGAGATGAAAAGAAAAAAGTAAAGCGTGCGAATCAAGCTGAAACTTTACGAGAATTTAACGAGGATACAGAAGCGTTCACTCGCGGAGGAACCATTCGTTTATTTATTTTCTTTTATACCACGATTGTCAAACGGCATGAAATTTTTATTAGGTATTGTATTCGGACTTAACCAGTCCTTCTGGTTCATGATCCTCCTCTTCCAGTTACTCCTGCGGTAGCTGGGTAGCTTTAGCTAGAGCCGAAGCTCAGGGGGTAGAGAAAGGACAATTTCAGGCGCTAGGAAATCCTGGGGGAAATGAAAATTTGATGTCCCGTAGTAGCGTGGGGCGTCGCGTCGCCGGGCGACTGCCACTGGTGCTCTGGACAGCCAGTATCCGTAGAGCGGACGGGCCGCAGGCTGGAGTGGGTCCACGTGATCTTAACTGATAATTCGTGCAACCTTATCCAAGGACAGTACTTCTGCTCTGTAATTTATTATAGATTTTAAATATATTCATAGGACACTCATAAGACTGCTCGTATCCGATGCATGGAATCAATGTTTCTGCATTATTCAAAAGTCCAGATACGTCTGGCAGGGTGGACAGAACCTCCCTGCCTCCAATACCTAACACAGTTGAGAGTTCGCCAGTCTTTGCCGTGCCTTCATACCGACTCAATTATTTACACGGTGGCGTCTTTTAGCTGTCTCCTCGGGTTTATCATTCGGCTCTGGAAAATAACATCGGACAGCCTTCCAAGTGGCATTAATGGACACTCCTTATTGCGCTCCTCCGGAGAGTCGAAGGCGGGAGGAACTTCGCTATGGGGTACATAACCCAATTGGAATAAAGTCAGGTTAGGTTGCCGAGAATTTCTAAGATACGTATCTGGAAGATTCTCGAGAAATCTCCCGCGGGTCCCAATGGAACGTCTAATAAACAATATCGATCATCCAGCATTGTCTCCCAGAGTCTCAGACGCAGCGGAAGGATAACAGAGCGAAGCCATCCCCGTCGCCATTGGCTGTTTAGCTGATTGGCTGTTTGACCGGCGAAGCATCGTGACGAGTATCGACGGACAGCGTCTCGGCACGATTTAATTAAAAATAATTAGGATCCGTTTTAACACGGAGACCGCCCGACGTCGATGAAATTGCCATCCTGCTGAGAGTAGACTAACCGGAAATTCATCTTCTGTCGTCCGTTAGAAAATACTTCAGGTCCGTACCAACCCACGTCTAAATCTTGGCACTTCGTTATTTTACAAAGTGGAGACGCACTACGCCCTACACTTATCTACCCTAACGTCTTGCACATCGTCATTGCTACCAACTTCACAGACCGACAACAGCTTCGTCACATCCGTTCCTTTCTCCTTGTTATTTCTTTCCTATCCTTGCTCGAATATATCGGCGAGCGACCCTCCGGGGACCCTTTAAAGTCTTCAAGGAAGTTCCTACGATTTTTCACGGCTTCTGGATCCGTCCGGGAGCAACGGTACCGGCACGTCGTCGCCTTTGCCCCGGGCTGGAAAGATTCTCCTGTAGGAAATATCCTCCCAGATTTATTTATATCCCGGCAGAGGGACGGCGCGGATATCGCAGCTTCGAATTCTCTGCCGTAGCCGATTGGACGTAGGCGAAACGAGATCGTCAGCCTCTTTCTGGTAATTGGATACTCACGTCGTACGCTCTTCAAATGATCCGTGGGTGTCACATATGATAAGCCATACAAGTGATACTAATGGTGTGCCTGTATGCTATAGGAGCGTATAAAAATGTAGCTTTTTCATAAAAATTAATACACGACTCGATACTTTGCTATCTATTCAGATATCTGTATTCACGTCACTTTTCACTATTTACGTCGAAATTGCATGTCCGGCCGATGGGTTCTACTTGAGTTAATTAAATCATCGAGTCGCCCGATAACGTGAATCCAATGAGAATAATATTTCATATCAAAATCAATGAACGAGAGGATAAACAGAGATGGATATAATAATAAACTCAGGGCAATATCGCAATGAGCGACAATAATTTTCACCGTGTGTTTAACAATAGTCAAATCCATTTACACGTGAGCGCTTATCGTTCGATATGTAAAACTATATGGCAGTTTAGCGTACGCTGTGAAATTACGTGGAAAACCGAGGTACCGGTATAGGGAATTCGTAACTGTTGGTCTCGACGCTGCACGGACGCCGGGCGTCGGCGTCGGAAATAAAGGCCCAGATCCAAGTTATGAATCCCGCCTGGTGCAAATGAAGCGAAATTCGAGCGTCCCTACGAATTCCGCGCGAGTTTCAAATATTTTACGGGATTCCTCACGGTGCACTAGCATTAGTACTTATATACGTATATATGTGTGTACAGAGACGGTCGATGACGGTGACCATCCCTTTTCAATTTCCAGCAGTTTCCCTACCCCTAATGCCGTTTCAGAGGGTCTCATTATATTATTGACCAAAGAACTACCCTATGTAGCATAAGCCGTATACTCAATCTATATATCATTGTGGATTACGTTCTGGTCGATATTCTCGTTGGTTTATTAATTAGCGACGTATGAGACTATCAGAATTTTAATAATCTACCAATCGGGAAATTTCATCGTGAAAAACTTATATTTCATTTTTCTATTAATTATGCGTACAATTTATGATTATATTCTAACACGGCCACTTCCCTCGCATATACGTATTCTTGGTCCAGAATTTAACGCTAACTATACTTTAATGGCTCTGGCCTGGTCGCTGTGTTGTTCTTTGGCTGACGCCCAACCTACGCCGGAGCAACCGCAACTGGATTCACTCTGGAGAATCGCGAATTGGCGCATAATTCCTACTGATTGTTTGATAGTTGCGAGCAGCCAAAGTGATTTTCTCTATTTGCCAAATGCTTTGTTATGCACTAACGAGCGGGAGCGCGCGGCCTGGTTAAACATAGCCGGTCGAGAAGCGCGGATTGTGAAAAGCATGGGGTAAAATACAAGCGTGGAGACTCGATGGGAAAACTGGGAAAGTTTTGGGCTTTACGAGTTTCCATTCGAAACTGTATGGATACGTAACAGGTTAATTACGATATTGAATCTCCTACACAGGTATTTACAGCGTCTCGTTCCTCAGCATCACCGCGGATTATACTGCATGCCGTAACAGCGTTATGTAATCACGATAAAATCTGAGGTGGGCACATATAATAATAATATATACAGTTATAATCTCGTCAAAGAATATCTTTCCATTTTCCATTGCATCTTCAACGATCGTGATTGACAATATTATTTCAATAAGATAAATCTCGTAAATTGCATCCGACGAGGCAGTCGGTAGAATCCGCAGCAATACTTTGCTCGAGATACAAATTGCAAAAGTATGAAAATTATTAAATAAACATGGGGTGGAATATCGATTCGTCATTGGAGAATTCGAAATCTGCCCGAGTCCACAAGAAGTTCTGACAACTTGTGCAACCGCGGCCATTGTGAATGAATAATCGAGCGGGGCAGCGGAGAGGACACGATGGCAGGAGTCATTTATTTGTTATCATGAAAAAATAAAGCCCTAAGGTCCTGACCCCGTGACGTCATACCACCTTGAGGGTGCAGCAACAGTAGTAGTGGTGCTAGTAGTGACGTCATAGAGCGCCACATGACATAGTACAGTGAATCGGTACGCTTAGGATTTAGGGTGCGGGAAGACGAGGGTAGAGTTTAGACGGGACGGATGGGGATCGCGTAGGGGTTGGGATTTCTCTTCAAAGGGCGATTTGTCGACAGTCGACATGACAAAGACATTAGTCCGTTCGTAGCCGCGACTCCCTTTTCCTGCACCATTAAGAAGAGGAGACGAGAGAAAAAAGGAGGTCGAAGGGGCAGCGGCAGGACCCGGAGCACGCAGGCTTCCAGGGAGGCTGCGACCCCCGCAGCATCCCGCGGAATTTCCGCTAAGTGATCTCAAAGGATGTCACGGTGGGACAAATTGATTTTTCCAACCCCTCTTAAGGGGTGCAGCAGTACCATTAGCAGGCTCGACAGTACTTTGTCCCAGAAGCAGAAGTACAGTGCACGCTGCAGGCTATCAATAATATAACAATCATAATGAAGCAAGATCAAAAGTTGGAGCATCCAATCACCAAGTTATCGAATTGCTGTGATCGATCTTAAAGAAAGTAAAAACGTTAGTTTTCGATTGAAAAAAAAAATATTAACAGGAAAGCACGTGACGTCCCCGTCGCATCTTATTGTTGCGCGACCATGCTACTTCCGGTGGTGCAAATCCTCGAGGGATCTAACTCCCACTCGACCGCCCATACGCTTTAATCAATTTCCTGCTATTTGTGCTGCAGACGCGCGTGCACCAGGCTTTCCCGGCTTCGGTGTCTTTGTCTTCCTGGGAACTTCCGGAAAGCGATGACTTCCCAGTAACAAATGCAAACAGCTCGCTGTTGTCCCCAGTGGAGGAACAATAAGAATAAGGAAGTGGACCTATTACCTCTTATGACCCTCTCTAAACAATTTAGTTTACTTGCTTCCATTATTTTTATCTCCCGAGCGTATGGTACCGTAACAGGTATGTACAGAGCTATTAAGCTCACAGTTGGCAGGATCAATAATACAGTTGGACAATAGAGATTCGGGTAAGACGGGACCTCGATGACGTCCCTTGCTCAACGTTCCTTGCACCCGTCCGTAAGATACTCCATCCAAGTCTGTTTCTTTAGATTGATCTTTGTTTACACGTTACCCCTATAGATTCAGAGAACACTTTACTCTCGTGCATCGAAGATGCCGGGTATCCATAGGGGAGTAAGCCCGCCTCTTATGGTAGGAGGTAAACGATAAATGTATTTTCAGGCTCTCTCTATCGTGAAACGTCAGGACGCCCAGCGTCTGAGGAAGGGCTCTGACTGCTCTCGGCGAGGATCCATTCAGGAGGAATTCCCAATAAGCCGTCCGCGAGTCTCATCGAAGTAGAGGAAGACAAAGAGGGTATACGAGTGGGAGTGAGCAAGTGAGAGAGATACCGGGGAAAGGATGAGAGAGAGAGAGAGAGAGAGAGAGAGAGAGAGAGAGAGAAATGCAGGGACTGATCGAAACGAATCTACAGAGGAAAGTTTCGTGGCGCAAACGGCAACCGGGCAGATCGCCTACGAATGATTTGCTGCAGGACAAACATTTCCAATCAGCGACAGAAAAGCAAAGGCAGAAGGTAGGCGCTATCGCGCGAGAGTGACAGAGTTGGTATAGATGAAAAGAGAAAGAGAGAGGACCGACTGTTTATAGGTAGAGAGATGAGAGAATCCAGAAGTCGTGCTGTTGCCTTTAGGGTGAATAGAGAATCCATCGAGGAACCTGACTCCTAAAGGGACGCTGTAAGGGGTGCAATGGTACAGAGAGGGATGGTCGAACTTTTCCTCGACTCGATTTTTATCCCGTTACCAGAGGCGAATTAGTACGGACATAGCGAGGTTTAGAAATTAGATTTTCTCTAACGCCAGATGTTTTCCTCATCCTCTCTTCCTTCTGTCTGCCCTTCCGTCCTATCGCCACCTTCCCATATCAACCCTCCTGAATTCCATGCTTTTCCGGCCCAACCGCCGTATCCCTCTTCTAGCCTATTTTTTTTCTATTCGCCCTTGTTAACCAGAAAAAGAGTAATGACAACATAATACACGTACAGTTCGGGCCAGAAGTAAAGTTCAAATGATAAATGCAGTAAAACTTCAAGCAGGTAAGTATGCTTTAATATCACAATGAGGTAGTATAGCACGCGATATAAGGAATTGGTAGGTATGAGCCGCGACGGAGTCCCCGAGGAAAATGGTGGAATAGAAACGCGTAGATCCCCGGGTACGTTTCAATAAATAACTTTTATGTTCGCCGCAGTGCCGTAAAAATGGTACCTGCTACTGCTGGCAGCCGAGGTATCATCAGCAGTTACTAGAAAATCTAGTAGAACGATCGGTATCATCGGTAATGTTAGAGCATTAATCGTGAATGGACCCCATACGTAGATATATATATACGTACAGTGACATTGGGCCCCATGCACTTTTCTAATTTCTATTTCCGCTTCCCATCCTGGCATGACACATAGTCCCTAGTCCCATAATCTTTCTAGCAGTGGATGTATGCGCTTACGCACTTACACGTACACGCTATATATCCGCTACGATACATATGGATAAATGCAATACGCAAGCACGGGGATCCGCGTGTGGATCCGTTACCGGCGCATGGACGACTTCACGCTCGACTTGGTTCTAGCCGAGTGAGTCGAAAGCTCACTACGTGCGATTGGATAATCCGTTTCTATAACGGGTGACCCCAAAGGGAACGGGACATGCAAGACGATAAATCTCGATTTTCTGGGGGAGAAGTTTTGGGGATGAAAAAAAAAATATTCGGCAATTCAGTACGACCGTCATGGATGCTTGCTCTGCCCTTTTTCACGTTGGTATGAATGCTAAGCATCCCCTTAGATATTTTCCGTGTCATTGATCTTGAGATACCTGAGAATTGGAGGATGGTATTTTTGGATGTGATATTTTGTAGGCAATTGGGATTCCAGAAGTTATCAGTCCTAATTGTATTAACGACGTGCTATCGATGTATTATCGAAAAAAATGTATTATCGATGTCCACCATATCGTAAAATAACACTCGCGTATATAAAGAGTAGCGTGATAACCATCGCGCGTTCAATAATTCAAGCGGCTGCCTTCTAATGAAGACGCAATTACACTGAAATACTTGGATACTTGAATCAAAGGGGTGTGCAGGAACCCTTCCCGTTAATAATTGTCCATGGATATAATGGCAGGTATGCTAAACAAAAGGTAACGAACGTTTGTCATAATTAATGTAAATGGCTTTCTACTACCTGTAAATCCTTCGACTATTCTAGATCTTGCCACGGCTCTTTGTGTTAAGCATTGTTTGAGACGAGGGAGAGATAGTAGTGGAGAGAGCGAGAGAGAAAGAGAGAGAGAGAGAGAGGGAGAGAGGGGGGATCGTACCACGCTATCGAGAAATTTTATACTAACGGAGAATCAGAACCAGAGGGGTGGTGCGATCGCGACAAGAGGGGTGGGATAAAACGCCAAAGCCGAACCAAAAGTACAGTCGAAGGTAAAAGAGAAAGAGAGTAATGGTCGTGGAAGATCTATCGGCTACCCTTAACATCGCGGGAATTTTAAACTGGGACTTAAATTTACCCCCGAAACGAAACCCGATAAGAAGAGTGACGTTAGTAGGGGTTGAACGATAGGGGGTCTGGACCACTTAAACGAGGATCAAGATGATCTCTTTTGCACCATATCCTGAGAACGCTTTTTGCATACTCATCTATCTGTCATAGGTTATACGGATGCCGTTTTGGTATAAATAAAAAAAAAGTGCGTCACGAGGTTAAAGAGCCATTTTAATCCCCTATACTAAAATGGTGGCTGTGTCACGTGTCATTTGTCACCGCTGGTAACGATGATCGAGGAGTGGATCACCCGTAACAAGAGGGACGCTCTTTGCACTGTATATACAGTACGTACTGGGTGTCCTAGTAATAAAGTCGAAATTTGTCGAAAACCATTGAGAAAAGGGTGGGGCGGTACAGACTGAATTCGCATTGTCCGAAAGCAAGTCGCATGTCGGTCTTGCCGTCTGCGACTATACTTCATAGCTCGTGTCGCATGCAAGTTTAATCTTCTGGAAGTAACGCAAATGCAGTGCTGGGACTGTGGCGGGATCTGAATAATGCATTTATATGTCCACACGGATATGCGCCGGTGCGAATGCCTCGCGAGGATACGACAGTTATTGTGCAACGCCCTGTATCTCGTTGCAACGCCTACGTTATCTGTCCGCCTAACCTACAGAAGTCGCATTCACTCAATCCTGGAAAAGTTTCACGTTTCAATCAATGAATGAATCGAGTGAGTGGAACTACAATGCATTCAGGAATACCAGTTGTGTGTATACAATACTAAGCACTATAGAAATACACCGCAAGCATCTAATTCCAGATTGGCTTGAAGATTGCGCAGTGAGCAAACCTAACCTAAAGTTAGAATTACCGTTAACTTCACAGCCACTTCTGTAGGCACTAGTTTCCCAGAGTGCAGATGCGTCTATATACATGTATATTTATACGTACACCCTCGGCAAAGTAGGTAAGTTTGTATTTTCCATTTGAGACAAGTTCCTCCGCGCGTTACTTCTCCAAAATTTCTTGAGTCCTTTACAGCCTTTCCAGAAAGATGTGTATAGGCGGCGATGTAAGCACTCCGGCCGATTGCACGCCGTAGAGGATTAGTTCAGGAACGAGACCCCACTCTTGGAGCGTATTGCTCCATCCGTTACTGTATAATGCCCGCCGATATCCCATCTCAAAAGGTTATTATATGTATAAGCCATTCCCCTACACATAGTAGCACGATAAACAGTTGTCCCAACATCCCGTGCGAAATGACATACCGCGCGGAATAGGTTAGGTCAATTCCAATGCAGCCTTGTGTAGTAAGGAATATGCGGGAATGGCCGAAGACGGCTCCCGTAACGTGAGGCTCCTCGACAGTCGGCTTTTGCAAATTTCATTGGCGATTTCTACAGGCTTTCGCGAAATTATCGTGACGTGCATCTGCACTATTCCGCAGAGTATCCGTTCACCCGTCGCTACGTCACGAACACTAGTCGAGACGGTGTTCGACGATTTACGAGAATACCCAAAGGCGACGGTGCTGCCGAGACCTCCAAAGTTTCATGACGGACGGAGAGGGAACTACTAGACGGTTTGAATATCATTGGCGCTTCTCGATTTTAACTGCGGACAATACTTTTGCCAATGGCGTCCCGTGCAGGATTATAACCCCAGTCTACGGGCCGAATAAAATTCGGCTTATTTTAATACCCCTTCGCAAGAAGTTTCTCTCGGTATCGTCAACCCCATGGCTTACCTATCTATCCCGTTCTGCGCCCTTTCCTTATACTTTCGCCTTTCTCTTACTCGTTCCCCCTTTTACTTGAAAATCGCACGCTCTTCTCGTGGGACGAAGAGTCGACTAAAATCCGATAGGTCGTATCTTCGCTCTTGGATAAAGTGCTGTTTCTCATCCTGTCAAACCTTCTGAATATATCAGGAAAATGTCAAACTAGATAATTTCATAGATACGTAACATGGATATAGGCATATACTCTGTACTTGGAGATTGAAAATGTTGGGGGTTGTTGATGATAATCGAATTAGGCAGGAGCATCGATTAATTCTAGAAGGGTCCTCGATCATGCGAATACGAGTCCTTCTGGCGAGTTGGAATAATTCCTGTATAAATCTTTCGAATAAATCTCTGTAGCTAGCTCCACCCACTTCGCACGGATGATTCTGAAGATTCTACCATTATCAATTAACTTGAAATTGAATTAACGTGAATGGCGCTCGAATTAGGCATTCATTCGACTGAAATGGACTCCATATGGGAGAGCCTAGAGGGCCTTTAGTCTAAAGTGCGTTACAAAAGTCAAGTAGCCCGCGAGTGGCGGACACCGCGGGTGAAAGCCCATTGTTGCGTCAACACATATGTCCAAAAGAGCATAAAGGAGCTTGCCCATATGTCTATCATTTATATCCAATAGAGCAGTTAGAATATCGATCTACAATAAATTTCTTTATGAACTATATTTGACTTTCTGTTAACCAGGATGAATTGAACCATGTCCTACAGCATCTGGTAAAATTATCCAGGTATACCTGGGGCTCCAGTTCGGAGTATTTTTGAGAGACGGATCCCCGTGACAAGGTCAACCCTTCGATCCTGAGATGAAGTACGTCAGTAAGAGTTTTGGTCTAAAGAATTTTTGTCAGTTCAAAGTAAATCACACTGTTAGAAACTGTACAGGATTTGTCCGGATGGACACCTGCTTTCCATTGGAATTTCACCTGTAGTCGCAGGCAAATCTTCCAAGGACTTAGCAAACTCGTGAGGTCTTTTACCTAGCTTCTATGTAGCTACCTGACCACCAGAGGAACCTGGACCAAATAATGGAAAATTTTCTCGAAAACTCAACAGACCCAACAGGCAGGTGCGTTCTCAGGTATGTATAGAGAAGATTCAGGATCCTCGAGACCAGTTTCTTTTCTTGTTTCTATCTCCCTACCTTTGCTACCTTGCAGAAAAAGGAAACATAAAGGTGGATCCACAATGCCTAAAGGTTGCTGTGCCTTCAATATCCTCCTGCTAATACCTGCCGAGGACATCAGGTAAATCCAGCCTCTACAAGACAGCCAGTTTCAGTTCCTCTGCCATAGCTATTCTTTTCATAGACCTGGGTCAGTTTTCATTAAACCATCCTTTTTGTTCTAGCACTACAACCTACTCAGACCATACGACTGCCACAAAGGAGAAATGCAACGCGATTACTACTAAGGATCTATTTCCGTTGGAATTCAGGTCAAAGGAGAATCGCAACGTGCTTTACAAATATTTGGAACACTTAGCAACCGGCCCAGTCTTTCTTATTTATACAAGGAGGGAAATCATGATTACAAACGTATTCCACGAAAGAGCCATGCCCAGCAAAACCCACAAATGTCACAGATATCCATTTGCGCACCCGTGCAGCGTACGGTTCCTATGGTGGAGTCATCGAAATTTCTCAAGAGGAAGTTTGCCGACTTATTTGTTTTCACAAACTGCGCAACCTCATCCGACTATTACGCTTCACGGCGTGACCTTTGACACTGACCAATTTCAAAGCATCTTACAAGATAACGCTCCGATAGCGGCTCGTCTCACATACTGTCGGCAAGTTGCACAGAAAAGAGAGTGAAAATGAAATCCCTTTTATTTTAGTCTAATCAAACACTCTTCATCCAACAGATAAAAGAGACCAGTCGCTGAGATCTGTCGGGCATTTTTATGTTCTTCGGGTAAAAGATCAAGTCCAGGTATATTTGGATGATAATTAAATATATACGATCTCCCATGGTTGCTATACCTGATCTTGTCCTTTTACAGGAGCTGAACTGTCCTGACGAACATCATCTTTATGGTAGCTGCCATTGAGCATAGTTATAAAGGAGAAAGATAAGCTGTCCTTTGACCAGGATAAAATATATTTACTAAAGCGATACTTCAAGATACTTGTATTTGTACTGCGAGAACGAAGAAGTTACAACGTGGCCGGTAAAAGTAATTCCAGAAAGTGTGGTAATATTTATATTTATAATATCGAATTTATTGGACATTAAACCGGTCTGATCGACGACTCAAGCTCGTTTTCCGAGAGCGAGATAATAAAAATGTGAATGATCAAGGACTTTCAGATAAAACGATTATTGAAATGGCCACCTCTCTTCTTCCTTGCACACTCGTGTGGCTGAGGTATAAATCAGCTTGTAGACTCTGGAGGTTTCCAAATTAAAGACGAGAGCCAGAGAAGAGAGTGGAGACGAAAGATATGGACCGAAAGACTGTGGAACCTTAGAAGAGTGTGAACCGGAGATAAATCTCATTATGCAGCTTAATCGATACGATTCGTGCTGGTTTTTCGCTACGCTCATACTATACTATTAATATAACTAGTATGACTACTACTGTCGACGCTACTATTCCTGCACCCTCTTTTGCTTTTTTTTTATCCCTTTTCTCCGTTCGTTACCTTGTACTATGAATCACCGTTTAGCCGTTGCGTGCAGCGTCAAATGGCGAATTCATTTTTCACGTCGCCGGTTGATTGATACAAATGTGATCTCCCGTGGTGAAATGCAGATTCCCAAATCGAGAGAGGAAAAAGAGGGTGTGCAGTGGCGAGGAGGGGGGGGGGGCTGAGACTGTAAAAGAGAAATAAATAGATAGAGAATAGAATTGAAATAGGGCGAAAGAGAGAGAGGGAGGAACTTTGAAAAATATTTTTTACCCTTTGAAACACGATTTGTTCCTGCACCTTGACGTAGCGTCGAGTCCAGGCCTGCCGAAGTCGTCCGTTGAAAACGTCGCGACGGCCGGCATCGTTTTTAAAGCCATTAGGGTCTCGATGGATTTTGAAAGGGGAGAATGCTAGTAGACAGGGTAGAAGGGGGGTTTGGTAGATATGGGGGGGAGTAATTTTTAAAATTCAATCATCGCAGCCTGACGGGCAAAAGCCACGGGAAAAAAAGTAGCGAATGAAAGAGATAGAAGAGAGAATAATAAACTTAAGAGAAAATTCTCTTGATGATACTTCGATCGGTTTTGGGAAGTCAAGCGATGAAGGAAAGAATGAAGTGACCACTTCAAGATGCAGTTCTTCTTCTTTATAAGATTTTTACCTTGTATATATAGACATACCTCAATGTTATATATCCCACTTAAGTACCAAAGTGCCGACGTAAATCTTGGCTTTCTCGTTCCAATGAAATCTCTCCTATATGTTTTCTTCGCGTATGACAAATAAATAAGTCAGCGACGGCGTCAAGAGCCTGTACGTTTCCAGATCCCACTCGCAGCATCCCCTCAGTCAACTATCTGGACCGTTGAGGGATCCGTGTAAATATTAGGATTCAAAATCTTGTTTTAGCTGTAATCTCGGAACAAGATTAGGGATAGACCGAGCGCGGTGTACAGTGAGAAAAAAAAGGTCCAAGTCTTTCGAATGACTTGGAGAGAGAATTTAAAGGCTATTTTCAAGAGAGCGATTAAGTCGACGCGGATGGACCATGACCTATTGTTAGTGGGAGTCGCGTGATTCTATTGTATGCAAAGGTCCAAGTGAATAAAAAGAGAAAATAAAGAGAGGAGGGCACGACCTCGGAGAGGATTACAAGTAAAATGGCAAGAGCGAAGCGTGACAGGAGCATCTTAAAAGAGCGAGCGAGCGAAGGAATGAGAGAGAGAAGGAGAGAAGCCCGTACCAAAGGAATTCTCCCGTAAACGAAAATCGTCGACAAGGGTCCCCGACGCCGAACGACGTCGTCGAACGTAAACCTCATTGTTAGGCACGGCGTGGGTGTAGGAGGTGAGTCCTTCTTTGTATTTATTTATCGCCCATAGAAATATGGTTACACGTGACATGGCCTAAATTTCCCTAAGTAGGAAGCCACTACAGTTCAAGAATAATCGGCTGGATCGGTCGATGCTTTTAGAGCTACGCAATCATGATTTCTGGCATCACTGTTAGTATTCGTAAATCAATTAAGAACGTCGCTTATTGAGAACTAAAGTAATGCTTATTTATAGAATACGCCCTTTTACTTCATTTTGCATATGGGCTTATATATTATATATGTAGGTACTCACTTTAGTACAACTCTCATTGTCAATGTGGTACCTATTCGCTATTCGCTAACACGGAAGCCATTTGGTATACAAGACCAACGACAACAAGATGGACCAACAAATCGGACGACGCGAACAGCCTGCGGTCGATTCTACCCGTAATGTACGGATCTCGCGCGTTGTTGGTCTAATTCGAAATATCATTAGAGACCGAATGGATTTTCCTCCGTTTCGACTGGTCTATGACATTGCATTTCACGATTTAGTGCGTTTTGACGCTGTGCGTTAATTGAAGCATCGAACATGCGTTTGCCATTCATATCGAAGAGCCTCTCTTATAATGGCAATGAACGTAGTTTGGCAGTCATTTACAATTGGAGACAGGACGGTAACAAACAGTAGATACGAGAGAGATATAGGGCATGAGTTATTGTAATAGAGAGAGAAAGAGAGAGAGAGAGAGAGAGAGAGAGAGAGAGAGAGAGAGAGAGAGAGAGAGAGAGAGAGAGAGAGAGAGAGAGTGAGTGACATACTTTAAGGGTGTTAGATCGAAAGTGTTCCGTCATGTCGCTTGAATTTCCTAAAGCCTAACAGCAATTGGGTGCACTTGCAGCTGCGATTTATTTAGATGCACATCATTACCTTTTCGCGGAGGTTATCGGGCGAGTTTTCATGTACATTCTCCTGGAATTCTTATTCATGTTAGTCGTTTCATGCGGAACAGCCTATATGGAGTAGTTTTATACGTACATGTATGAAATATCGTAGGAATTCGTATGCGAGGTAAAATTTAAAGGATGAGACGCCGCCGTGCGGATCAGTATTAAAGTCGTGGAATTGAATCGTCAGAAATCCTTTGGGCTGATTTGCATTGCCCGTGACGAATGCGCAAAGCGGCTCTCTTAATCGCGTGAATAAATCCGTATGTATTAGGGTGGCGAGTAACGAATTGTTCTCGCAGTATTCACGCGGTACAGTCGAGGGGTGGCATTTGGTTTATGAAAATTTAAAAATTATTAAATCTATGCAGAAATTAAATGAATCCTCGGAGAAATAATTAACGAGATGAAAGGCTTACGTTTTGGGGTAAATATTTGATTCGTTGTCGTTGGATATGTTACATGTGTATATTATATTTTATACGTAACGAAACTTCAAGCTACGGGGTAGTAGAAACTTTGTAGTTGAATTTGCATGGCAGTTTATGTATATGTGTACGTATATACTGTGCTATGTATTACTGGAGTTAAATAGATGGATATACATGTCCTAGTCCCAGTGCGGATTTTGGATTTCGATTTGATTAATAACTTGATACTCGCTGGAACGGGACTAATTACAGAGTTGTATGTCGGTGGAAGTTTCATCGGAATTAGGTAAATAAGCAAAAGCGTTAACAGATCAGCTCGTTATGGTTTAACGGGCGCGATATTCTCTGCCGAATAAATCGCACCGCGCGTGGCACGTCATTTGATTGGCCACACGCAGCCACAATGTGAATCTATTTGAATGCTAATTCCAAATTGATAGCGCTCTACTCGAAATCCAAACCACAGAGAAGCTATCGATAAAGTTCCCATAGAGGCGTATTTGGAACGTGTTTTCAAACGATGGATAGTAGCCGGTAAATTGGCGCGTGTATATTTTTGCGTTCTGGAATGAACTGTTTTAATTGAATTTAAATCGCGCGAATTAGAATCGAACACTCAGATATTTCAGTATCGATTGTGCTATCAGTATTTACTTTGTACTGATTGTTACGGACACGTAAATATTGATTTTGTTTGTGACTCGTGAATGATTAATTAGTAACTCACCGGTATTTCAGGATTTACCGGATGATTTCAATGATGACTTTCACTATTTTGATGAGCGGACACTTATTTTGAAAATTTTAATAATTACTATCTATCTTCATTCACGATACTTGAATTATGTCCCGAAACCGATTACGATGTGCAGCCGGTCGCATCTAAAATGCAACTTGAACCGTAAGCCCGCGCTTTGCTGACTACCATCACTTTGGAGTGGGGATTTGCTATCCCTTTTGAAAGAATCGACAAAATATTCCCACCAGATGTCTTTAGTATGCAGCTGATGATGGTTGATAAATTTGGTGTTCTACTTTACCGGCAGCGTATGATAATTGTATTTCGTCGTTCACTACATTATCAACTGTTACAGAGATGCCATTTGCAATATGAGTGAAATACGTCTGTCAGCAGAATGGAAATACATTTGTCAAAGTATTTGAGGCGGATTTGACGTACGACATTGCGAAAGCATTCCCTGTTACGTATTTCGTATACAAAACGATAACTTTAAGTTTTAACATTTATTTAAATAACAATACGTTATTTTTGGCATGTTTATAATTTTTTATTACCAATAATGAACACGCTTTGGTTGTGTCATAAATTTTCTTATGCCAAATGCACATTATCTTCATTCTTAAATGCTTCACAGTGATTTTAACATAGCCGTGCAGTAATTTTCTACATATTTATTAGAGACACGTAACAACCGATATACAAGTTAAAGAATCTGAATAAAATTCCAAATATTAGAGTTACACATTAAAAACTGAAATTCATATTCGAAGTGCGCGGGCAGAAAAAGAAGGTACCGAAAGCCAACGACAGCTGGCAGGTCGATCGTCTTTCGTTCTGCGGCTGAAAGGAGTGCGGTTGGTCGAGTACGGCAAGGGGAATAGTCGGGGCGTCTTTGACGTCACATTCGGGTTTGTCCGGCGGCGCTCGAGTGTCCCGATCTCGCCCGAACGGGTCAATGTCTGAGGAGGCTTCGAAAAATCCGTGGCTGGTGTGGTGTACCCGTACTCAGCGACTCGGCTGACTTTTCTGCGTTAATCGCGTACGTAGCCTACGTCCAGCCCGTGTCGCGAGTGCATTAACAAAATAGTAGAATATAGGGACAGGCATAGAAAAGGAAAAACAACGAGATACGGGATCATTTTTAAGTCGAAGGTGTGTATCGGCGTCGCGGTAAAATGTCGTGCGCGAGCCGTGTGCGAGCTTGAGCCAGAGAAGCAGAGCGGTCGCGAGTACAATAACGACGGCGACGACGACGACGAGGACGACGACGACGATAACGACGACGTCGACGTCGAACATCGTCAGCAATAGTACGAATATCGGTAGCAGCAGCAGCACCAGCAGCGGTGGCGACAGTAGCCGTAGTAGCAGCAGCAGCAGCAGCGACAGCGACAGCGACGGCAGCACCAGCAGTACCAGCAGTGCGATAAGGCGAAGAAGTAGTATAGAAACGAGAAAGGAGAAGCAAGAAGAGAAGAAACAAGGAGAAGAGGAAGGAGTGAGCGTGTGTAAAGGAGAGAGTGAGCAAAGGGACGACGAGGTAGAGGAGAGAGACGCAGGTTCCGAAGCTCTCGGCGAGGAACCGAGCGTGAACGCTGGCGCTAGCGTTAACGCTGGATCTATCGAGTCTAAGACAATTTTAATACCAAGAAGAGAATCACCGTGTCCGAGTGTCACGAGGAATAAGATCTCAAGGTATAGGAGATCGCGTCGTAAGAGGTGGACGACAGTAAAGACGAAGCTCCTAGCCAAAAGGGAGAACCCTACGATAAGTGCGATAGGTCGAGGAGCAGGAGTTTGCGCTTATGGCTGTCTTTTAAAAGTCTATCCAGAAGCACGGAGATCATCCTCTGCTGGTAGTAAAGCTGTTTGGTTATCGAGAGGGTGCGTGTCAGTGCGCGGCAGTTCCGACCTGGTGAAGCAGCAGCACGACCAGAAGGAGGTGAAGGCGTCGGAGGTCGTGGTGGCGGCGGCAGCAGCAGCAGCGGCGGCGGCGCTGTCTGAGGAAGAGGAGGAAGAAGAGGAGGTGGTGTTGGAACCGAAGGTGGAAGTAGAGGTAAAGGTGGTGCTTCTGGTACTGGATCGTCGTTGCTGCGTGGCCGTTGAGAGAAGGAGGAAGCAGCAGCGCCGGCGGTGCTGCTCGCCGCCGCGAAACCCAACCCAGCGAGATCATCGACTGTGCTATATAGAACCGCGGCTCCGTGACTGTGCTTCAGCGCGCTACGAGCCGTACCGAAAACGTTGACCCCCCCAACTGAAGACCGACCGTTACCCCCCTCCTCATCACTTCCCATCCCCGTCGCAGGGCACACCATCCACCATCGTCGGACACGGCTAGAGCCACGGCCTTAGCCAAAGACAGAGTGCCGTCCTTCTAAAGGCTGCTGCACCTCGCGCATTCCCGGCTTATTAGGCAGGATCGCGCGTAGCGTGCGCGCCCTAAGATCACCAGCTTGCACGTTCGCCCGATCGACGAACAGACGGACGGATACGCCGTCAACTGGCAGCCACGAGTTGGCCCTTTTGACGTACTCGGTTGTTAGCACCATCTACGAAGTTCCTCATTGCCGTCGTGGCTACGTGAAAATTCGTGTGTGTGATCCCTCCCAGAGTGTCCGAGAATTTTCCAACAGTTTTCATTACCGTGCCAGTGTTCCTAGTTGAGAGAAGAGTAAGAAGTGAAGAGGAAACGTGTACGGTTAGTGTCCCGAGAGAGGAGATTAAAGTGTTAAGAGAGAAAGAGACAGAGATATTAAACAAGAGAAAGAGTGTGTGGAGTTCTCGCGTAATAGTACCGCGCATCTCTGCTACCTCGCGTGAAAACGAGCGTGCGATGTGATATCGGCTGTCATTAATGTCCGAGGAGGAAACGCGCTGGGAATCTTCACGTGAGGCATTCGTGGCGAAGGGGTACGGGTTACGAGGAGACCGAGGTGGCGGTAGTAGAGGAGTAGTGAACTACTACGGGGCCTAAGATCGCCGAGGAGGAGGAGGAGGAGGACTGAGGAGGATGAGCGGGAGACCGAGGACCACCTCCTTCGCAGAGGGCAACAAGCCCCCTGCGAATCCGCCCCTGGGCGGTATGAAAATCAGCAGTGAGTACCATGAGACGTGATGATTTTATAACCTTAGAATTATAACCTGCTTTCGTGTTCGGTTACTTGTGCTTCTTTAATTCAATGATTCACCGATTATCTACCTACGTGTGTCTACGTCACTGCTCATCTATCTTTCTGCTAGAATGCTTATAGCTATTTTCTTGCTATTTTCATATTTGCTTTTTTTTTTTTTTTACTGTAGTTGCTTTTTCCATTCGCCTTGGAAAAGCCTTGGATCGCGCAACAAGCCCGCTCCCTCGTTCTCATAGCGACGACGTAGTAGCGCGTCCATACATAACCCACACGGAATACTTCTCCGAAAGCGGTGCAAAAGGTCGCGCTACAACATCCGCGTTGCGTATGCTACGACAGAGTCCATTACTGCTTTAGCAATTCGGGTAGGTCGCTACTGTCACGTATCAGTGACTGCAGTCGTGCGCTCGTCATATTTTCATTTTGAAGGTGATATTCGATTGAGGATGCGGCTTAATATCCCTCGGGGGAGTCTCTGACCTCGGCTAAAAGATCTCTCATTGGTTACTCAGCATACACACATACACACACACATTGTCGGAACTACAACAAAATTTAGGCTTATTTCTTGCCCCTCGAGTCTCTGGGATACGCCCTTGGGACTCGAAAATCAGGTATCTGAGGCACAAAAGGACCCAGGATCCTGTTCTATTGCCATGAACGCGTTTCCTGTCCCAAAGATATAAAGATATCTCCTCTTTCTTTCTATCTCTATTTCAGTCTTTATCTAAACCCCCCGGTAGTCCATCTCCTTGTCTCCCAGTGACCTGGCTCTCCTCACTGAGTCTCATCCCTGCTCGGTAAACGTCAGCAAGACGTTACGGCACTTTATAAATAAGTCTTTTATTTTCGCTGTATTAACTGGTTGGTCTTCCCACTGTAATAACTCCTAAGCTATACCTGGTGTTCCGTGAGTCCGAACAAAATATTTAGGTTAGTTATACCTTTTTTTTTTCTTAATCCTTGTCAACAGATCTCGTTTAAAAATTACGCGAAGTATTGTCAAAGTAAGTAACCGCATCCTGTACTGCAATCTTTATGGTAAACGTCAGAAATGTAACTGACCATCGCAGAAACTGACAGTTACGTTGCATTCCCATCGCGCGAGGCCGCTGTCGCTCTGCCGTATCGTAGCGTCCCGTTGTGTGGCGCTGGCGCTCTACATTACCGATCCATCAGAACGTCAGCGTGTCACTAGGAAAATCTATGGATCCTCACCGTAGCGTAGCAGGCTGCATTCGTAGCCATCCGCCAGGGCGCAGTCTCAGTCCGTACTAGTCGACAGTCTCCTACGTGCCTCTCCCTCTTTCTCTCCTCGTCCCTCTACACTTTCTTCTTACTCTTTCTCGGCCTCGTCCTCCAATTCTTATCCATGGGGACCCCCTGCAAGGATCATGAGAACTACCAAAGGCAATACACTTCAGAAGTTCGCATGTCAGCCATTAACCCAGAACGATGACACCTGGTGACACCGACTTGAACTGGGATACTGCTTTGTTCTCGTAAGGGCTATACCGACACCCCAACAGTATCTGAAAGTTATTCTTCGTCCTCCTGCTGTGCTTTAAGATCTGTTACTCAGAGGCAAAATTTTCTTTTCCCTTTCTGTGACAAACGTTTATCAGCTTTAATATGCACTTGGGGTACTAGGAACAAAGAGATACCGAGTTTCTTTGTTTTTCCTTTATTCCACTGCATTCTTATTTATTCTTATGTCGTTCTTTTTGGACTTTGAGACGGGTAAGCCTCCCTCCCTCTTGACCAAGAGTAGTGGATATGCACTATGTATTCTTACGTGTAGACGTGTACGGATGAGCTGTCTTGTATTCAAGGAAATTTCTTGGAACACAATGTATTTGACACCCTTGCCAGATATCGTTCATGAAAATGCCCACATGACATATGCACGCATGGCATTCTACTCGCACGTGAACTGAGTCAATATCCCGGCTGTCACGTTGACGAGTATCGCGTCGCGCGACCGAGTGTCGCGTTCGATACCAAATGGAATGAAATTCCGTGAATAAACGTTGATCGTGTTTGCCTGATACCTTAGTAGGTATTAAGAGTCACGACGGAGAAGGTTTTAGTAATTCTAATGCTATATGATTTAACTGCGTTTAACGATAGTTGAACCTTTCGATAGTTGCGTGAAAAATGTACTAGATATAAAGGAGAGAGAGAGAGAGAGAGAGAGAGAGAGAGAGAGAGAGAGAGAGAGAGAGAGAGAGAGAGAGAGATATCATAAAATTTTAAAAATCAACTAGTTAGGCGATCGTGTTGCGCCATGTTGTTACGCGCTATAAAAACGCTGCAATTAATGTTGGTGCGAGTAGCAATCATTCTGGAATTACTCGGATCGATTCGTTTCGATCCAGCCTACCTTTCGGCTGGCCAAATTCTGACGGCCATTTTTCCTTATTTTCGCTAGGTCATATGTGCGTGACTGTGGCTACCTCGCGTAGTCTCCTGTTACTGGCTGTGGAGTTCTTATCAGTTGTGAAATTGGGATATATTTATACGAATACGTGAATTAATAGCTATTAATGTCCATCGACGTTGTTCTCTCGAGTTAGCAAGCCTGCTTGGTCGTCTATTCGAATAGGACAAAGGAGACGGGATGGCTGCAGCTCTCGACACTCCGCAATTCATCCTGATCGACTGTGTTAATAGAAGAATCCAATGGCTTCTCGGTGAGCTTCATATTCGATACCTTTTATTCTACTATTTTACCACTCATGTAGGCTTCCTACGACCACGTAGGCATTCAGCCGGATGGGCTTCCTAATCAATTCCACAATCGGGTTCAGCCAAGCACTTTGGTTTTTTCGGTGATCATCGATCTCATCGGGTCTCGTAAGACCCGACGCGACTGTTTACGTGAAAAGGAGGTCAGTTACGTTCAAGACTCACGTGTCTATCCTGATCTGGGTCAATGAGCCCCTATGCCATTAAAACCGGCATTTCGAATAACCTAGACTGATCAGGTAAGCCCAATGTCTTCCTCGATTCGGTTATAAAAACTAATTGTCGTCCTTGCCTAGGGGCTACGTACGATTTTGTCTTACGGACGAGGAATGAGAAATGAAAAAAAATTACGCACGAAATCGTTATCATTCGTTGCCGTCAATTTAATCTTTGTGTTTTTGGGGCAGAAAAAAAACAATCTACGTCAGTTATCGCGCCATTCCCGTTTGGCCGCACGTTGCTCAAGAGTGAATTTTGGTTGAGAGTCACTTTACATGGCAAGGATGGAATTTTACGGACTATCAGAGAAGAAATTATTCGGGATTCAAGAGGAGGAAGTGAGATGCCGCTGAAATTGGAGTATCAAGGAGGAACTGGATACTGACTCTCTTTCTGTCTGTGCTTTTATAAATAATTGCACGCGACCTAACGAACGGAATTATTTAGATGTCTCGGTTGCCATGGACAGGAGGAAGATAACTGTCGACGAATCCTTATTTCGTTCTTTGTTGCAAGAATCGATCGTCCGTTGGGACGGGGTCATCCTGACCCAAATTAACCTTGGCTGGCTGACAGTGTCTCAGGCGTGACCTCGTCGAGAGTCAAACGTGCCTTCTCAATAATTTTCTACGACTGTTCCTCGACCTCGCCAAGAAGTCCTGGTGAGAATGAAAACCTCTAGAAGGCTGTGAATGAAACTTGATCAACCTAAAGACTTCGTTCTGATTAATGACGGGATATAAAACCGTGTGCTTAGCTGCGTTACTTTTATTGTCTTCCTTTATGCTTCTCGCAGATCCTTTTTACTCTTGCTGAAAGAGCGACCTGGTCTTTTTTCCCCCCTGGGAGATACCAATGCTTACAAGGTAGGGCTCGTGAGAATTGATACAATTTTTCGAATTTTCCAAAATTCCATTGTATATTGGCCATACGATAAGGTTCGACCTCGTAAAATGATACAGAAAACGCGATAGTATGATTGATACGGACAGTGGTGGTCGTTGCCCGATAGTCAAACATTTTCTATACCTTTTTTTTAGACTGTCTCCGTCTGCCTCATAGCAATCTCAAGCATTTTTATTTATTTATTTATTTTTTTTTTTTGAAAATGAAAAACAAGGATGACGTATGTGATGTAAATTAATTTTTACTGTTACATCAGCGGAAAAGCCTGCATGGAATTCGCGGAGTTTGTTACCATGACAGTTTTGCAACCTCTGCGTAAACTCAGGGCGAACGTGCCATTATGTAATCAAACAGTCAGTCAGTTATCGGTTCGCCAGCTGAGGATGGACAAGTGAGTAGGGGGGAGGCGGAGGTACCAGTAGAGGGACAAAAACAAGAGGGAACATATGATTCTCTTACGTGTTATCCGTCTAGTTGCATATAGTTGAGAATAGCGAATTTATAGCACCGAGTGATCTACCATTTTAAATCGACGCACCATAGAAGAGAGTCAGTACTGTAGAGGCATAATGGAGAAAGTAGAAGTGCGATAGGACAATGGCACTGGTAGTATCGATAGTTACCTATTTAGAAAAATTCAATGATTATGAGAGTCGAAATGGAGTCGTTGGAATAGAGGATTTACATATATGCTGTGCGGTTTGGTAATTTGGTATTGCAGCTGAGTGGAAAAAGAAGAAGAACGCCCAGGATGAGTAGTTTAGGGTTGCGTCAGGAGGCCTCCTAGAAAACACCGCGAAAAATAGTTTCTACGCACTGAATGGCTGTCTCTATTCCCACAAATTATATAAATTCTGGAAACCAGCCAGCTTTTCGGAGCTCCGCCTTCTGTTTTTCTCGGCACAAGGTCGCTCCGAATCCAACTCGCGACGCCCTCACGGGAGTGTCCTGACGTGACCCTCTTATTTCTCCTCATCTTCCTTCTGGCAACCTTCAGTACCTTTAACCCTCCATAGGCAAGAGAGGCGTTTCGCCATTCAGTTTCACGCTGTTGGAACCTCCAAGTATCGACAGCGCCCTCTTCCATTACCTTTCGAATTTTCAGCCAATTTGACGCTTCTGCTTGTACTGTCCACATGAAAGTTTAAGGGCGAGTATGAAAGTCACGAGGGGATATAATTTCTTAGTGAAATGTCTGGCATTTAAACGTCGCGAAGAACGCAGATTGGAACGATGGCGCAATGTCCTCTTTTTTTCTGACATCTGGCACGGCCCTGGCGGAGAGTCTAGTAGAGGAAGAACGTGAAAGCAGGCTAGATGGCGCCAGGAGTATCGTGACAAGTGGCGCCACTAGAAGGTGAAATAAAAAAGAGATCTCTGTCCTTGTCGGTAAAGTCACTCTCTTCTTTATTCGCAAAATTGTTCATCTGGACGCTTATACGTACCATTTACATAGACATTTCTATTTTTGGGCGATACTGAATTGCGACACGTACACAGATGTTGGACACATGTCCTCCGTGGTGTAGTAAATATCGGCGTAAAATAGAACAAATTGGATAAAAGCGGTCGAGCGATATAGTTGCGTGCTTGTTAACGAGTCTTGTTCGCCACAGGGCCGGCCGACAGCGTTTTTCAAAACACCTTTTCAATGTCATTGATCCTTAAGAGAATTTCCAGAGAAAAAAATATTCCTCAAGGTACATATTTAAAACAGAGAAAACTATGTTCGTCAAAGGGATAAAAATTCTTTTGCTCCACACGCAGACTAGATTTTTCGTGACTCTCGCAGTTCTCACTGGAGGACACGTGTGCCCAGCTCGTATCGCATGACCTTTCGATAATCCTTGGAATCCCTACATGTGGTGTCCTGACATAACAGCCAGGGAGTTAAACCCCTTCGAGGAAACTCGCCGGGCGATGCTCGAACGCTTTCGGGCCGGTTAGTACCAAGTGCCAGAGAACCCGGTCGATACGACCTCCTCATTGGCCGATGCAATTGGATTCCGGAATTTCCGTAAAAATTCACCAGGCCGACGACTCGCTCACGAAATCCAAGTAGTCGTTCACCGATTCAAAAGATGGCCGCCATTCGCTGATCCATCCCCCAACAAAAACATAACCCAAGAAATTCTCGAAACTCTCATTGCCTCCCCTCACAATTTTCCCTCAAGGATAACCAAACATTTTCTTTTTTTATTTTCGACAAACCTCAACCGTCAGCAGGTTACGACGTTCACTTGGCATCTGAAAGCATTTCGTCACTCCTGACGCACCAGGTACACGATACCACTGCCACACTGCGTTGACTATACTGACGGCCATGGTCGCGCTGAAAACGTCGGCGTTCCCAACCTCAAAAATAGAGAGCAAACGAATGATATTTTTAAAATCACCTACACCTATATCGTCAACAGAACTTCGACAATCGATTCTCTATGACGAGACGGTTGCCAGTCAGTCAATCGGACTGTCTGAGAATCAGAGGACAAGGGACGTAAGCAAAGAGTAACACAAAGACGTCTAGACGACGCACTCGACGTCGGTGTTCGCCAAAGAGACTCCCAACCAAGAGATTAAACACGAAACGACTCGCGCGTACTTTTCTCCATGGATTTACGATACACAACAAAGAAAAGAGAGTCGAGTGACATTGCCCGAGTAGCGGGTACAGTGCGTGCGCGTCAGAACAATCTTACTCCACGATATTACATTTACCAGATTCCCATCGACAAAGACGCCATCTTTGTTTCTCAGTCGATTCCAGCAACAACCGCGTAATGTCACGTGTGCCACTATAGATCCCATTACGAGGAAAATCTTACCAGCCTGCTAACGACAAACCTCGTTAGCCACGGGATAGATAGTCGTGTTCCGGCGGACTCCTAGTCAACTAAAAATAGAAAGAGAACCAGCACGTCCCCGTGCACCAACAACCTCGTGCTCCTCGTACATAGCCAAGTGTCGAAAGGTGTCGCCGAATGGAAGAAGGTAAATAGGACTTAGCGAAAGAATTTTAATCCTCCAGATAGCTACCAACGTGTTCAATGTGTCCGTCCCCATCATTTCAATCGCTCCTATAGAGCAGCTGGGAAGGATCCCCCTCCCTCCATTTAAATACGTGAGATCGATCTTACTCGACCTCTCGATGCCCGCCAGACGGGGAGACTCCACGTGACGAGTCAGAAACAGTCTCACGTGAATATTATGTCACACGTTACATTCCCCACTCCGTTTCCTCGACCAATTGCCTCTCGATAATCAATTATCCATTTCCTTAGTTGCTTTAAACAGTCGGTATACGTACTCTCGGATATCAAATTCCTCGAATATCTTTTTTCACCATTTTTTTGCTATTACGTCACTCTCGTACAGTGCCACCAACTCGGGCTCGATACAAGGAACTCCGATCACGTGTACGAACAGTCCTCCTTAGGGATTGACCAGCTGCCACGTTCTACCTACATCTGAGCCTCACGCAGTTCGCTGTTCTATGCGAACTTTCTGAAAGTCTTCATTGTTATTATGAAGCAGCGGCGATTTTTTCGTTTTTGCTCCTGTAATTACCTATCTCTCTCTCTCTCTCTCTCTGTCACTCTAAAGGTACCACTGGGTATAAACGTCGTTAGGTTAGGTTAGTCTCGACTGCTAGACAAGATCCACTCCCGTCGTTGCTATTTTCGCCAGTATAGCCCCGAGGGGTAATACAACTGCTTAGTTCTATTAATAGACGTGGCGTTATCGTAATTTTTCCTTTATTTTGCCAAAGATTTATCTCGAATCCCAAAAGGAATGGTCACTGACAAAACTAAGAGGATGAAAGCGATAGTTGGCTTTTGGTGTCGTTCACTAAATCTATTCGTTGGGATGGATCTCGTTAACGTTGCGAATTCGCGTCAATTATAACCTGATGCGTGTACGTAGACGTGGATATAGATATAGATGCCGAGAGAAACAAATTCTTCAATTTTACATACGCACGTCACGTATACATATCTATGTATATAATAAATGCCTTGGGTACCACTGTACATATATATACGTATGTTTGTCCTATGTATCGTGACCGATCGTCATCGCTAACGCTTATAGCGACTATTCGAAATATTTGTTATTCACGCTTTAGGTGCTTAATGTAAGCAATATATTTGTTTAGACGATAGATTCTAATCGTTCCTTCAAATTTCGAAGCTTTTCGAAAGTTTCTATTGCCAGTTAACCGAGCTCTCGCTGCGATTAGATGAGATCGCGTTAGTCGGAATGTGGGCAGTGGGCCCTGGGGTACACGGTGACCTTCGAAATTCGTCATCGATTATAATCGATTATCGAACGAGCGAATCGATTGTTTCGAGAGTATCGATAGACGTATTTTTTTTTTACTAGTATTTAACGTACCATAAATCTTTTCTTTTTTTTTTTTTTTATTATCGCGACGATGAATCTCTCCGTTGTAAATTGTGCAGCGTCCCGACGCTTCAAGCGATATTCGAATGACGCAAAACTTTAGCTACGTCTTTTGTCTCGTTATCGCTATCGGTTGCGCGTGGAAGGAAAGCATTTTTTCTTGTCTTCCGAGCTCTCATAACTGCGCAGAAGTAAACGAGACTGATTTCTGAGTCCGATAGAGATTGCAATCTCCTCGCTGAACAGATGTTCGGTACCGTGGGCTGATCTTATTCGCGACTCTGGGAGGAAGTGCCGTTGCGAGCGGGAGCTTCTAAGAAAATGGTGGGACCATGCCAAATGGCTTTTTCGAAAAGTCTACCGTATCCTTTGCTCTCTCAGAAATCCCGGTTGACATCTTTCAACGAGTTTGTTCCTTTGT